CGCCTCGAGCACGTCAAGACCTACCCCAAGACCGAAGTGGACACCATCATCATGGACTGGAAGTTCAGCTTCACCCCCAACGACACCATGGATCTGACGGCCCGCCAGCTGAAGAACAAGATCAACCCCAAGGTCGTGCTCGAGGTGCGCCTGGGTAAGGGTGTTGTCAGCAAGGGTCTCGACGTCATCGTCGAGGACATGGCTTGCAGCGGCTTGATGCGCGTCAAGGTCAAGCTGCAGGTCGCCTTCCCCCACATCGAGCGCGTCGACGTCTGCTTCATGGAGCGGCCCGAACTGGACTACGTCTGCAAACCCCTGGGCGGCGACACCCTGGGCTTCGATATCAACTTCATCCCCGGCCTCGAGAGCTTCATCAAGGACCAGATCCACAACAACCTGGGTCCGATGATGTACAGCCCCAACGTGTTCCCCATCGAGATCGCCAAGATGCTGTCCGGCAACGCCATGGATCAGGCCATCGGTGTCGTCGCAGTGACCCTCCACGGCGCCCGCCAGCTGAAGAACCCCGACCGCTTCTCTGGCACCCCGGATCCGTACGCCGTCGTCTCGCTCAACAACCGCAACGCCCTCGGCCGCACCAAGACCATCCACGACAGCGAGAGCCCCCGCTGGAACGAGACCATCTACGTGATCATCACCTCCTTCGCGGACACGCTCAGCATCACGCCCTACGATTGGAACGAATACCGCAAGGACAAGGAATTGGGCATTGCCACCTTCGGCCTGGACCGGCTGGAGGAGGAGCCCGAGCACGAGGGCATGTACCTCGAGGTCATGGCGAGCGGTCGTTCCCGCGGCTCCGTCCACGCCGACATCCGCTTCTTCCCCGTCCTCGAGGGCCGTCAGCTGGAGAACGGCGAGGTCGAGCCGGCCCCGGAGATGAACACCGGCATCGCCCGGTACACAGTCGAGCAGGCCAAGGACCTGGATTCGAGCAAGAGTCTCGTGGGCCTGCTCAACCCGTACGGCGTCCTGCTGCTGAACGGCAAAGAGATCCACATCACCAACAAGCTGAAGCGCACCAACAACCCCATCTTCCAGAACGCGTCCAAGGAGTTCCTCGTCACCGACCGCAAGAACGCCCGCCTGGGTCTCCTGATCAAGGACGACCGCGACCTCGCCCGCGACCCGATCCTGGGCAGTTACCAGATCAAGATGAACGACATGTTCAAGATGATGGAGAAGGGCCACCAGTGGTTCCACCTCCACGGCGCCAAGAGCGGCCGCGTCAAGTTGACCCTCGACTGGAAGCCTGTGGCCGTCGGCGGCATCGCCGGCAGCTCCGGCTACGTGGACCCGATCGGTGTCATGCGCATCCACTTCAAGCGCGCCACGGACCTGCGCAACCTGGAGAAGATGGGCAAGTCGGACCCGTACGCGCGCGTCCTGCTCTCGGGCTACCAGAAGGCCCGCACGGTCACCTTCCGGAGCAACCTCAACCCGGATTGGGACGAGGTCATCTACGTGCCGATCCACAGCGCCCGCGAGAAGCTCACTTTGGAAGTGATGGACGAGGAGTCGGTCGGCAGCGACCGGACCCTGGGCGCCGTCGAGATCTCCGCCTCCGACTACGCCCGTGAGAACGAGCAAGGCGAGTTCGAGATCGACGACGAAAAGCAGGACCTCACGAGCGGTTTGCGCATCGGATCTGGCCCCGTCAAGGGCAACCTCCACTACACCGTGGCGTTCTACCCCACGATCCCGGTTGTCAACCCCGACGACGAGCAGGAGGAGGACGAGTTGGAGGATGGCCTCACCGTGGACGGCGAGGGCAGCGAGGGGGCCCGCAAGAGCGTCGAGTCCCGACGCAAGGGCTACCACTCCAAGAACGCGAGCGTGGATTCCAAGGCCTCCGCCAAGGACCTCAGCTCCAATGGCAATCTGACTCCCGAGCCGCGGTCTCTGAGCCGCGCGCGGAGCAACGAATCGCTTGGGTCAAAGGCGCTGGCGTCCCCGACTACTGCGCGAGACTCGGAGACTATGTCGGTACGGTCTATCAAAGAAGTGCCCAAGACGTTTATTCCCGCGGAGGATCTGGCTCAATACGGTTTGTTTGCCCTATACTCTCCTGTCAGCGCATGCTAATCAATAATCCTGCAGAGTCCGGTTTCTTCGTGTTCAAGTTCCATGAGGTCCACCTGGCCCATAGCAATGTGCAGGTGGAGGTGCTGATGGACGATCATATGTTTGCGTCGTACTCGACCGGCAAGATCCGCACCAAGGTTGCTCAGATCGAAGATAGTATGTCTCTCTTTTTTCCGTCCCCTTATTGTTAGCATGCTAACGGCCATAGTTGGTGACGCTTTCGTTCGGGAACTGGAGTTCTCCAAGGTCACCCTGCGGATCGTGGACAAGGATGACCACTCGGACAACAGTGATGAGCACACAGTATCGAAGCTGACTGGCGACACGCTCAGCACGCTGCAGCGCATCTTGTATACCCCGACGGAGCTGAGCCTCCGATCCAACGATGGGGAGGTCAGCAAGGTTACCGTCAGTGCGCGGTACATCCCAGTCAAGATGAAGCTGGATCCGTCAGAGAGCATCAATAACATGGGAACCCTGCGGGTCAACGTCATGGACGCGGCGGAACTGCCGTCGGCGGACCGCAACGGGTTCAGTGACCCGTACTGCAAGTTCCGCCTGGACGACAAGGAGGTGTACAAGACCAAGGTACAGAAGAAGACGCTCCACCCCTCGTGGAACGAGTGGTTCGAGGCGCCGGTCAAGTCCCGGATCGGGGCGAACTTCCGCTGCGACGTCTACGACTGGGACTTTGGCGACAAGGCCGACTACCTGGGCGGCACCGGCATCGACCTGGAGACGCTCGAGCCGTTCCAGAACCGGGAGGTGTCGCTGCCGCTGGATGGCAAGTCTGGCGCCATCCGGCTGAACCTGCTGTTCAAGCCCACGTACGTGATCCGATCGCGACAAGGGTCGTCGACGTTCTCGGGCACGTTCGCGACGCCCGGCAAGATCGTCGGCGCGCCCGTCAAGGGCGTGGGCTTCGTCGGCGGCAACGTGATCAAGGGTGCGTCGTTCCTCAAGCACGGCATCATGTCGCGATTCCGCGGGGACGACGGCGCGAGCATCCACGAGGGCGACGAGGCGGAGGAGGGGTCCTCGTCTGCGTCGCCACCGCCGGCGGCGCCCGCGCACCAGCACCAGCCGTCCACCGACACGGTGCCGGTGCCGTCGGCGATCCTGGTGGACGGTGCCACGCCGTCCAGCAACGGGCTCCAGCACGGGCGCACGCGCAGCCTGGTGTCGCACTACGGCGACCGGCTGGGGATCGGCGGCGGCGGGGGCCGCGGCGACAACGGAACGGCGTCGATCTCGGTGGTATCGGCGAGCGGGTTCCCGGCGTCGGCCAACTTGCGGGTGTCGGTGCGAGCGGTGGGCCCCAAGGGCGCGAAGGAGGTGTTGAAGACGAAGGCGCAGCGGGCGGGCGACGGGGTGCAGTTCGAGGGATCGCACGCCTCGTGCCGAGTCCACAACACGACGGCGGACGCACAGTACCAGGTGCGGGTTGTGGACCACGCGACGTTCGGGTCGGACACCGGGCTCGGCGAGGCGATGTTCTTCGTGGACGACCAGGGGTCTGTGGCCGGGCAGGACAAGGCGATCGCCGTGGGCGAGGGCACGGTCACGGTTCGGAGCAGTTTCTCGGTGCCCGACGGGGGTGCCGCCGGTGGGGGGTTGCGACCCGGGACGGCGAACTCCAATGGGGGCGGGGATGGGTCGTCGGACGGCGGGGCGGATAGTCCAGAGTCGAAGAAGATGCGACGGAGCTTTTTGAGTAAGCGGAATGTGAGTGGTGCATGATTTTTATTTTGATTTCCATTTTATTGTTACTGGTGATGTTTTGTATGGTATATGGTATATGGTATACATGGGATGGATGGATGGAGGGCGGGGGGGGGCTTGATTGATGCCTGATGAGTTTCTTTTCTTTTCTCTTCTTTTTTTATTTGTTAAAACGGTTTGTGACTGCATCTATGCATTGCAATTGGGCTCGAGCGAGATATCCGATCTTGAATTAGATTATTCTATTGCTGTACCTCTAACAGTAGACCGTATTGTGATTCCTAGACACACCGCCTGTTGACATGCCTTAGGTCGTCGCCTCGGCAGGTAGTTGTATGTTTGTAACTGCAGGAGGGCGCGTGACGTGAAGATATTGAAGCTGGTTGTAACTCCGACGGGGTCTGAATCGACGGTTAGGTTTGAGATGGATTGATGGACTAGCGGGTGTTCCACTTTGATGGTTTTGATTGTCTTATAGTTATTTTAATGTTATTGTCTTATAAATGGGTATGGAGATTATATAAATAGTCCAGGATATTATATAACCATGGATATTATAGAGAGAATGGATCTCCGGTAAAATAAAGAAAGAAGATTAATATAGCAGTACCAATAATATACCAATACCAATACCAATAGTAATAGTTATAGTTCTGAACCCACAAAACAGGGTCGACCACGAAATAGATTAAGATAAGCTGCTGGTGACGAGGCCAAGTGGAGCCGTCTGGACTGTACTATGGAAATAAGGAAATAAGGAAATAGGGAAATAGGGAAATAGGGGCTGGCCAGACCGGTGGAGTGGTGAGACTTGGTTGGTTTCATCTTCTTCCCTTCTGTTCAGTAGGTGATTCTGTTGAATTGATTTGGATCTGTGAAGAGTGAACAGTCGAATTGAAGTCCCGCCTGTTGGGTACCTTCGTTGGAGGGAGTTGAAGTACTGGTACCTGATGGTACTCATGTACCTCTGGATGCCTGAGTGCGTTCTGCCGGTCGGCCTAAGGCTGGGTAATGTATACGGTACGGTCAGGTAATGTGTCAGGACCGGAACAGGAACTTTCCCCACTATTTGTCCGTTTCTTGTTATTACTCCTGATTCTGGCTATTTATGTTTATCGTCATCGCTGTTTTCATCTTCCTTTCTTCTCTTCTTTTTCTTCTGTCTTTTGTCTTTGGATTCGCAGGTCTTGTTTCTTCTCTCAATTCTCTTCATCCGGGTGATCTCATTCAATTGCTTCCATCTCTCTACCCCCCAATTCAATCCTAGGTATGATGACGCAGCCCAAGAGATCGACACTCTGGCGTGGCAACTTCCCCTCCTCCTTGGTCCTCAATTAAACTCAACAACCCACATCCCCTCTTCTCCCTCTCCCTCTTTCTTCCTCCCCTTTTCCCCCTCCTTTTCATCCCTCTTCTACCTCAATTTCCCTGCTTCCTTCTCTCCAAAGATTCTTCTTCCTCAATCCTCCAAATTAACCTATTATACTCAATATAGTCATCATGGCAACGAAAGCTTTGCCCGCTCACCTGCGAGCCCCCGCCAATGATGCCGCCGGTGGCTTTGGCAAGCATCATGGCAAGTCCCAGTCTCATATGGTATGTCTTCCTTGATTGACTACTATCGTCACAATCATAGCTGATAAGGGAAGGCCTTCGAGAATGCCTCCACTAGCGTCGCCGCCTCCCAAATGCGCAACGCCCTCAACGCCCTCGCCGAGACCGTCCCCGACGACTCCGAACGCAAGCGCTTCGAGGCCGAGACCGACAACTTCTTCGCCCTCTTCCGTCGCTTCCTCAATGACAAGGCCAAGGGGAACGCCGTCAACTGGGACCGCATCGCGCCCCCCCAGCCGTCCCAGGTCGTCAACTACGATGACCTGGGCGGGGACGCCGCCGTCGAGTTCCTCAACAAGCTCGCCGTCGTCAAGCTGAACGGCGGTCTCGGTACCTCCATGGGCTGCGTCGGCCCCAAGTCCGTCATCGAGGTCCGCGAGGGCATGTCCTTCCTCGATCTCTCGGTCCGCCAGATCGAGCACCTCAACCGCACCTTCAACGTCAACGTCCCCTTCGTCCTGATGAACTCCTTCAACACCGACCAGGACACCCAGTCCATCATCAAGAAGTACCAGGGCCACAACGTCGACATCATCACCTTCAACCAGTCCCGCTACCCCCGCATCATCAAGGACTCCCTGCTCCCCGCCCCCAAGAGCTACGACGCCCCGCTCCAGGACTGGTACCCCCCCGGCCACGGTGACGTCTTCGAGTCGCTCTACAACTCGGGCACCCTCGACAAGCTGCTCGAGCGCGGCGTCGAGTACATCTTCCTCTCCAACGCCGACAACCTCGGCGCCGTCGTCGACCTGCGCATCCTGCAGCACATGGTCGACACCCAGTCCGAGTACATCATGGAGCTGACGGACAAGACCAAGGCCGACGTCAAGGGCGGCACCATCATCGACTACGAGGGCAAGGCCCGCCTGCTGGAGATCGCCCAGGTCCCCAAGGAGCACGTCAACGAGTTCAAGTCCATCAAGAAGTTCAAGTACTTCAACACCAACAACATCTGGATGAGCCTGCGCGCCATCAAGCGCGTCGTCGAGGAGAACGAGCTCGAGATGGAGATCATCGCCAACGAGAAGTCCATCCCCGCCGACAAGAAGGGCGACGCCGACCAGGCCATCTACCAGCTCGAGACCGCCGTCGGCGCCGCCATCCGCCACTTCCGCAACGCCCACGGCGTCAACGTGCCCCGCCGCCGCTTCCTGCCCGTCAAGACCTGCTCGGACCTGCTCCTCGTCAAGTCCGACCTGTACCGCCTCGAGCACGGCCAGCTCGTCATGGACCCCAACCGCTTCGGCGGCGTCCCCGTCATCAAGCTCGGCTCCGACTTCAAGAAGGTCTCCGACTTCCAGAAGCACATCCCCAGCATTCCCCGGATCGTCGAACTCGACCACCTGACCATCACGGGCGCCGTCAATCTCGGCCGCAACGTCACCCTCAAGGGGACGGTCATCATCGTCGCCACGGAGGGGAGCACCATCGACGTGCCTCCGGGGTCTGTTCTGGAGAACTGCGTGGTGCAGGGTAGCTTGCGGATTCTGGAGCATTAATTTTGGACCTTATTGGTAGATTGCATTTTTCTTCTTTTCTTTTCTTAATTTCTTCCTTTCTTATCTATTTTTTTTTTTTTCTTTTTTTGGTTGTCGGTCGATCTAGTTTGACTGGGATTGGTTGAGGCGCATATTCACGGATCCGGATCCATGCGAAGGGAGAGAGAAAATGACTGTTGGGTGCATCCAGCGTTGTCTTGTTTAACTTTTCTTCTTGTTTTGATTGGTGTTGATTATTATTATATTATTTTACTATCTCTTCTCTGAGCTGTCCAGCTATCTAGTTGTCTAGCTGTCTAGTTGTCTCGCGGCCTAGTTGTCTAGCGGTCTTTCCCTTAAGCTATTAAGCTTCTGACTCGGATAACTAATCGGAACCATACAACCATCAGAAGGATCCAAACCACCAGAACTAGAATGAAACATCGGTTCCAACTCCGACTGAACCAGACTGGTCCCTCTGGTTGACGGCACTCTCTACCGGGGCTGTCACTGTCAGGTGAACCGGCTACCTCAGGCGTCATATCCATCGACCCCTCACGCCGCCCGCGTCATTCCCCCCCGTTGGATTAGGTCTAGATGCTTCTTTCTTTCTTTTCCTCCCTTTTCTGTCCATCAACTCAACTCTGATTCCCCATATCCATCTGTGATTCCTCCCCTTCATGATTTATAATATATCTCCTTCTCATGGAGGGAGGAAGACGGAGAAAGGGGGAGGAGGGGGGGGAGGATCTTCTCCTCCGTCTTTCCCCCCCCCTCAGGCACATGAACGGAAAAATCGGTCGAAATAGAATACATAAATAAATAAAACCGGCTGCAGTTGCTACTACCCCTCCCTCCATCTTCCAACTCACATACAAATGGCGTCTATACTCTCCAACTAGGTGGCCTACCTAGACAATGTCGCTCGATCGCGCCTTCCGTCTTCTATATAGTGTTGAACGCTCCAACGACTATGATTGATTGAATCGCCTCCGCCCTTCCATGTCAAAACACCACGTTGATCAACGCTCTAACAACCATGTCTCAGTCGCCTTCGTTCGTCCGTGTTCCGCCCCGTCCTATCGCGCCTGGTCCGTCGCCTATCATGGACGTGAATCAGGGCGAGAGTAGCGCTGCTGGTGCGAGGAGTGGGCGGCGCAGCTCGCCTAAGAGGAGGGTGTCCGTGGCTTGTACGAGCTGTAAGAAATCTAAACGCAAGGTGTGTATATTAATCCTCAATCCTCAATCGTCAATCAGTCATTTATTCAGTCAATCAATCGATCATTGTGGTTCATTGAAAATATTAACGGAATAGTGCTCCGGTGTCAAACCCTGCGATAACTGCGTGGCCTACGCCCGAGTGTGCCTCTTTGACAAATCCCTCGACAATCGTCGTCGCGTGGCCGCCAAACGCACCTCGGACGATCTCACCTATTTTCTGGAACTGTGCCATGATTTGTTCCGCATCATGCGCGCCGATGACGACATCCACGGCCTCCGCCTCATGCAATACCTTCACGATGGGCCTCCCATCAATGTTGCCCGCGACCCCACTCGCCCCGAGGAGCACCCCGTGCGCCCCGAGTTTCTCCGCGCTTTCCTCGACGAGGTTCTCTTCGACATGGGCCTGAGTGTCGCTGTCCCCGGTGGTGATGGTGGCGCCCGTCGTGGTGATGATGGTGGTGGCAGCGGCGGCGGCGGCGGCGGCACCACTGATGCAGCCGTCGCCCAGACGCAGGAGATGCCCGCCGACATGGACATCGAGGGCCCGACCCCGGGCCCGACTCCGACCCCGGGCCCCTCCTCCCATCCCCAGGTCATGGATATTCACTACCTGTGTGACGAGATGCTGTACCGCGTGCCTGCGGCTCCGTGGACTTCCGTCACCGACGACGCTGACCTTGTCTCCCACCTCGTCTCCCTCTACTTCACCTGGGACTACCCCTTCAACCTCTTTCTCGACCGTGACGTCTTCCTCCGCCATATGGCCCGCGGTGATCTCCGATCGGATCTCTGCTCCCCGTTTTTGGTCAATGCTTTGTTGACTAACGCCTGTGTAAGCTGTTTTTCTCCTCATCCTTTCCCCTCCTCTTCAGCCTGTGCTTGTGTGTCAATACGTAAGGGGGCGTGTTGATGGCTGATGACCTTTAGTATTACTCGGATTATTCGGAAACTTATGTCAACACTCGCGATGTTGTCTCCAAGGGTGCCCGTTTCTTGGCTGAGGCTGAGCGTCTGTGGAAGGACGAACTCGCTATGATGAGCTTGCCGTTCTTACAGGGAACGTTGATGCTTTATGTACGGTACTCAATCGCCGGTGCCGATGACATGGGCTATCGCATGCTACACCAGGCCATCTGGACCGGCGAGTCCCTCGGCCTGATCGGCCCCGGCAGGCCCATGCTTCCCACCCCATCCTCCGAGGATATGATGATTTCCTTCCAGCAGACGGCCTGGGGGCTGTTCAACATTGATGCGTATGTTTCTGACCTCGTATGTAAAATGAAGTTGGCCGCAATGACTCACGATCCAGGATCGTACACCCCAATCTCCTGCGCCCCACCATCATTGGCACTGTCAACGTGCCGCCTCCGCCGGGCGCTCGACCCGACGAGGTAGCCATGTGGAAGCCCTATCCGTCCGATCGCCCCGCCCGGCCCTCGCATTTCGACCGGTATTTCGAGGCATCGTGCGAGCTGTCCCAGATCGCCCGCGACATGTCGCAGGCCCTCTTCCCCGCCAACAGCCCCGGCCTGGCTCCAGCCTTCCGGTCCCAGGCCCAGGAGACCATCTACGACCGCTTGCAAGCGTGGCTCAATCGTCTGCCCGAGGCCTTCCACCCGGACCGACGGCCTCCGCCGTATGTTCTCCTTCTCGGGTGGGTAACTCCCTTCTCCTGACCCAAGGGCCGATAAAACTACAAGATCAACCGATAACTGATACATGAACAATAGCATGCGCTACCACAGCCTCATCATCATCTTGGTCTCGCTACGGCCCCAGTCCCAGCCGTCCAGCCACGCGTCGGTCGGACCCCAAACCCCCGTGAGCCCCCCGGGTCTCAGTCCGCTCTCCACCCTCGACCCCGGCCAGATCATTCAGGAGTCGGCGCGCGCCATCTCCATCCTAGCGTGGTGCTATCGACGCGAATACAGCATGAAGTGGGCGCATCACTTCGCGCTGTACGCCCTCAACTTGGCTTTGTTCGTCATGGCGAACGGACCCGCGTTCGACATCCTCGCCCCGGAATTTCTCTCGCTCGCTAGCTCCTTCGCCGACGTCGCTGGCTGCTCCCAGCTCGGCCGCAACCTGTTGTACCTCTTCCATGTCTTCGTCTGTAGCCGCGGCCAGAGCTACCGCATCCGCCATTCCGCCGACATCTCAGACGAGCTGAAGATGCTCCTCGACGATGAACCAAGAGTGCCCTCGCCGTGGGCTCCCTACACTGTTGGTTTGAACAAACTTGACGTGGGGCATTACGGTGGTGTACCGCCCAGGGACGGCGAGTGGAGCCTCTTACAAATGCTCGATTGCTACGAGAGCTTGAGCTTGGGGAAAGACGAGGTTGCGCCTGTGCGGTTTCCAGAGGGACTTTGATTTGTCCTTTCTCCTTGATTGTTTGTTCTTTTCTTCTTCATGTGCTGTTTTTCTGTTGCTTTACTATTTTGGCTGTCGCTCTTTTCATCCTTTCTCTGTCTATCATTTAATACGTCCGCTATCTTAGTGCGCCGATCGCTGATTGGTCTCGTCATGACGGCATTATGACTCTGGCGTGCTCTTTCCCCCCGTTGATCCTGCTTGTTCCTTGTTTCGTTGCTCCGGCTCCTTCTGTTTTGTTGGGTATCCTCTCAGTTTGACTCTACCCGGGGGACCGTGTTTGTGGTTGCGCCAGAGTCGACTCCCTTTGAAATCACCCGTCCGTGGTGCGCGGCCTTTAATGACGTCACGGCCCGACTTTATCTGACTTCAGTTTTCATCCCGTGTTTAACTCTAGTTTTCTCCGATTTGCCTTCTCATGATCCCCGAATTTTCATTCCTAGTCACGATTCCCCGGTCTGTGTGATTGTCTGTATATCATGTTTGGTTTTCACTCCGTTCCTTCTTTTTATCTACACATGTTCTACTGTTAGCGAACATCACCCCGCCGTGACTATTGGAGATGGAGCATAACCCTCCCTCGCCCTACCTCGTCAACGTCCCCCCCGATGACCTCTTCGGTGGGACAGACCCCAACGTTGCCTCACCCTGGCGTGCAGGGATGAGTCCGGGCTCGTGGGCGCCACCCTCCGGCGGGCCCGAATTCACACCGTACGCGATGCCGCCGCCGCAGTTCTACGAACCGTCGATGCTTCATGCCCCTCCTCCTTCGACGCCGTCGTACGACTTCCCCATGTCTGCCCCGCTTCCGAAGGTACCTATTCCGCGTGCGTCGGCATATAGCACCCATTCGCAGCGCCGCCGCTCCGCCCGGGCCTGTGAACCGTGCCGCCAGCGCAAGATCAAGTGCGATGGGACCCGTCCGAGCTGCAAGCAGTGCGTCGAGAACCAGGTCAAGTGCTCCTACCTGGACGTCAAGCGAGTCCGCGAACAGAAGGAGTTGGGCGCGCTGGCAAAGAAGGTCGAACGGTATGAGAGGTTGCTGGAAGAGTTGGAGTCGGATGTCGATAGTGCTAGTGCCCGGCGGATTCGAAGGGCTTTGAGTGTAATTCTCTCCTTTCCTTTACTGAATGCTATTTCTATTGCAACCCTCCGGATAATGTTCTATGTTTGGATGCTCTATATATGAATGTTCTTTATATGGCGGGTACTCTATATTGGGTGCTCTCTGTATACTGGACGTCTATATATTGGGTGCTTTATGTATTGGGTGCTCTATATATTGGATGCTCTCCGCATGCTGGATGCTGTCCATATATGGAGTGCCCTTCATATATTGGATGTCCCCATATACGGTATGCTCCCAATATACTGGATGCTCTCTATATTGGGTGCTATCTGTATATAGATGCCCTTCATATATGGATGCTCTCCATATACTGAAATGCTGTCCACATACTGCAACCCCATACACACCTTGCGAAGTCGCGATCAATGCTCATATCGAACAGACTGACCCCGTCTCCGTCGACGACCCCGCGTCCGACTCCGAGAAATCCGACTCCTCCATCGGCTCCCTCGACGACATCGACCTCGTCGACGAGGACCTCAACCGTAGCGAGAAGACCATCGCCATGGGCTTCTTCGGCAAAAACTCCGAAGTCTCCTGGATGCAGAAACTCGAAGACGAAGCCTCCTCCCGCAGCCAGGACACAGCCCCGGACAACGCCCACCCAGACCAGCAGCCCCGAGGCTCGCCGCACGACCATCCCCACCACAAACCAGGCCCGTCCATCGCAACAATGAGCTACCACCTCGACGACCTCAGCATCCCCTTCCTCGACCACGTCGACCCCCACGCCCTGCCTCCCAAACCCCTCGCTGACCGCCTCCTCCAAGCCTACATCGACTTCGTCCACCCCGGTTTCAACGTCATTCGCAAATCGACCTTCCTCGCCCAGTACCACCAGTTCTACCACCAGCCGTCCAACCCCCCGCGCCGCTGGCTTGCCATCTTGAATATGATCTTCGCGATTGGGTGTCGGTATTGCTGCTTGACGGGTAGTGATAGTGCAGAAGACCCTGACTGCAATGATCTGGTTTATTTGACCCGCGCTCGCAAGTTGAGTTTGGGCCCGAATGTCCTGTTTGAACATGCCGACTTGCAGCAGATTCAGATCGAGTTTTTGGTGGGGTTTTATCTGGTTGCCATGGGGCAGATCAATCGGTATGACTTCCCCCAGCTCTTTGTCCCAATTTCTTCTGCTTGGAAACAAGCAACGGAAAGAAGAGAAGGAAGGCTTACAATTATCACCAACCAGTGCTTTCAAATTTTCGAGTCTCGCTTTCCGCTCTGCCCTCTCCCTAGGGATCAATCTCCGTTTCGTTGATGATCGCACCCACCATGCCGCCAAAGAAGCCCGCTCCCGGCTCTGGTGGTCCATCTACCTGCTGGAGCATCTCCTAACCACCATGACCGGTCGAGTGTCCTGCGTCGGGGAAGACCTCAGTGCCGCGCCCCTGCCCATCCCCTTCGAGGAGGAAGACTTTGGGCGCGCCGACGTGCAGCGGCTCTTCCACCACCCAGAGGAGCGCGCCCACCGCCTGAAGCTCACGCTCCTGCAGACCGACGAAGAAGCCAAGGTCAGCGCCGAGTGGCTCTCGCGGTGCGATCCCAGCGCGTCGCTGTTCTTCCACTGCCTGGTCGACCTCGCCACCATCACCCAGGCCATCAGCACCAAGGTCTACAGCATCCACGGGCTGCGCGAGCGCTCCAGCAAAGTCGAGCGCCGCATCCGCCGCTACAGCCACTCGCTCGACCTCTGGCTCGCCAAGGTGCCCCCCGCCTACCGCTTCGACCCCGTCCCCCCGTCCTCAGAGTCGGCCACCACCCGCCCCACCGCCGGCCCGACGTCCGCCAACGAGCGAGAGCGCGTCTCCCTCGCCATCAGCTTCTACTCCTCCCGACTGACGCTCTGCCGCCCCTGCCTCACCCACACCACCTGGCGTCCGGGCCCGCAAGACTCCGGCATCGAACCACCGGGTCGACTGCCCTCGCGCGCCCAGCTCCGCTACGACCTAGCGCGCACCTGCCTCCAGTCCGCCTGCAGCCTCATCTCCATCCTCCCCGACACGCCAGACATGGAATGGCTCGCGCACACGACCCCCTGGTGGAGCATCCTCCACTTCGTCATGCAAGCCACCACCGCGCTCCTCCTCGGCCTCAGCTGCTGGCCATCCCACGGTCACTACAGCGACGGCGGAAGAAGCAGAAGCAGAAGCAGCAGCAGCAGCAGCACCGCCCGAGCCAGTCGCAGCGACAGCGGGCCCCGACACGACCTCCCCAACCAACGCTTCCCCCACCTCTCCGGCACGACCGCGTCCTCCTCCACCGTAACACCCTGCTCCGGCTCCGGCTCTACCCTCAAAACCAACACCGGAACCGGAACCAGCACCCCCAACACAAGCATCGGCAGCGCCAGCCCCTCTACCACCCGCCCACCCCCCAGAAACAACCCCCCGCGCCGCCTCAGCTCCCTCTCCAACGCGACCCCCACACCAGACCAACCCCAGTATCAAACCCAAGACCACCGGTTCCAACCCCCCGGCGGAAGAGGCCACCCCGGCGACGAACTCTCCATCCCGTCTCTCACAAAACACACCAAGAAAGCCTTCGTCTGGCTCCACGCGATGGGCTGCACGACGGCCGCCGCGCGTCGCGCCTTCCTCCTCTGCGATAGCTTTCTGAGACGCATTGCGCCGAGTATAGGCCTTGATGTCGGCGATTGGCCTGGGGTGGGGTCGTTGCCTGTGCAGGCTGGTGGGGCGGGGGAGGCTATGGGGTTGGGGGTGGGGATGGGGAGGGGGATGGGGAGGGGGGGTAGTGTTGATGGGGGTAGTGTTGATGGGGGTAGTGTTGATGGGGGTAGTGTTGATGGGGATGGTGTTGATGGAGATGTGGGATGATATCTTGTACTTTATGGGTTTTGTTTTGGTTTGTTTAGGTGTTTAGGGTTGGTTTAGATTGGGTTGGTTGGGTTGGTTAGGTTTGGAGTATGATATCTTATTGATTATGGGTTATTTTGTGAACTTGGTCATGGTTTTTTGTTATTGTGAGTTGAGGGTGGGGTTTATGGTATGGTATGGTATGCTAGGTTGTAGGTTGTAGGTTGTAGGTTTAGCAGTAACAGTTAGCAGTATGGAATTATCGAGTATCGCGTATCAAGTATCAAATATCAAGTATCAGTATCAAGTATCAAGTATCAAGTTTGACGTGTAGAGTTCAAAGCGAGAAGCAGTACTCAGTAGTAGTAGCAGTGTCAACGTATAGTGTTTACAGAGTAGGTAATACATGGTAGCGTGGCAGTGAGCGGTATAACAATGTAGATTGTAGTAGTTGGGATAGAGTAGTGGGTAGTGGGCAGTATGGCAGTGTAGCAGGTATCAGGTAGCAGATAGCAGGTAGTATACTATATGTTGAAAGAAAGGTATACCGCTCGGCTGAAACTGATATCGTGGCATTGTGCTTCGTGAAGATCCCTTTAGGATATCATATTGCGACATACAGTGTAGTGTAGGAACAACTGATCCAGTCTGTCTTAACATAGTACGTGTATACTACATGTACGCAGACCAGGATATAATGAACTGTAATATAATGTAGTATGCATAATGAACCACAATGAAGTGTATATAATATGCCACATGATATAAGAGATAAACAGACCCGATAATCAGAAATTATGATAATGATTATAAAATAGAATAAGATACTAATAATAATAATAGTGATATAGATCAATAATAGACAGAGAAATGGCAAAACAGAACGAAACCATATCAAAGCAATGACTCAAACCAAACAAAGAATAAATAATAGATAATAGATAGATAACCACCCGCATCGCATCCCAAACGATAAAAAAAAGATAGATAAATAAATAAGTGATAGATAACTACAATGAATCACTGCATCTGAGGCAAGATGAATCCTCTCTTTCGCGGATCATCGTCCATTCCGCCCTTCTGGCCCCGGTTCAGCATCATCGGGTCGTGTGGTGCGTGCGATGCTGCCGCGGCCGCGGCGTTGTGGTGAGTCGCCTGGAAGGGCATCTGCATGTGCATGTGCATTGGGTGGTGCTGCGCATGCGTGGGCGCCGTCGCTCCCTGCGCTTGGAGGTGCTGCGGGTGCTGTTGTTGGAGGTGTTGGAGATGCTGGAGGTGTGGCTGGGGGCGTTGGAGGTGGGCTTGGGCCTGAGCCTGCGCCTGGACGGCTGCGTGGTTGTGTTGATGCGGATGCTGGAGTTGTTGCTGATGCGGGTGTTTCTGCTGATGCGCTTGATGCTGATGCGGATGTTGCTGCTGCTGTTGCGGTTGTTGGGCCTGCTGCTGCTGTGTATGCTGTGTATGCTGTGTATGCTGGGTATGCTGGGGATGCTGGGGATGCTGGGGATGCTGCGTATGTTGGGTATGTTGGGTATGTTGCTGGTGTTGTTGGTGTTGTTGATGCTGCTGCTGCTGCTGATGCTGATGATGCTGGGGATGCTGGGGATGCTGCATGGGTAGCTGCATCGGGGTCTTCTGCACATGGGCCTGGAGAGGCATCTGGTGGTGCTGCGGCTGCGGCTGCGCTTGCGGTTGCGCTTGCGGCTGGGCCTGGGCCTGGGACAGGGCCGGCTGCGCCGACAGCGATCCCGCACCTCCATTAGGCGTCACCTGGGATGAGCCGTGCGTCGCTCCCGAGACGGGCGTGGGCCCGTGGCTCCCGGGCGCCTGAGCCTGAGCCGGAGCCGGAGCCGCACCCGGAGCTTGACCCGGAGCTTGACCCTGGGCCTGGGCTTGAGCCTCGGCTTCCTCGGCGGCCTTCCGCGCAGCCACGTCCGCCTTGCGCGGTCGGCCCCTAGGTCGGCCGGTCCCCGGCTTGGAGGACGGCTTGCGCGGACGCTTGGGGCGCGGGGGCGCATTCGGGTCGATCTCAGACTTGCGTGGGCGACCCCGTCGGCGCTTCGCCGGCACGACGGTCCCGTCGGGGTTGGTGATCATCAGTGGCGCGGCTGGGGCGGAGGGGCCCGCGGTGGCCACAGCGCCCGACGCGTCCGGGACCATGGGCGCCCCGGGCATGTGGGGCTCCCCGGGGTTGGGGGCCGGGCCAGCGACTGCACCGTCCTTCGGGGGCTTGGGCTCCTTGGGCTTGCGGGGCTTGCGTTTCTTGGGCAGCGGTTGGCCGTCCTCACCGAGGACCTCCGACTTGCGGGGACGGCCCCGTTTCTTAGGGGTCGCCGTCTTGTCCGTGGCGGGCGGATTCTGGCCCGGGGTCTCGGTGTAGAAGGCGGGCGCGGGTCCCGGGGGCGGGTCAGCGACGCCGAGGGTGGTGGCGGTCTGGAGGGGATGGGGCTGTTGGGCGGGAGACGCGGCGGCGGGCTTCGGCGGCGGCGGCTTCTTCCGTGGCTTGGGGGTCGGGTCCGGCTGGGTGGGCTGGATGGGCTCACCGAGCAGATCGATGGTACCGGTCATGGCCGACGCCGGGGTGGCTGACGATGGCGGAGCCCGTGCGGGCGGGACAGCCGCGGCCGGCTGGGACTGGGCGGCCGGCTGCGGGGTCGAGGTCGCCCGGGGCGCCTGGGAGACGGGCGGCTGGACGAGAGACCGGGGCGACTGCTGGGCCTGCTGGTAGGGGGAGGGCTGAGACTGTGGGTACGACGACGCCGGCTGCGCGTGCGGGTACTGGCGGGAGAAGGCCTGTGGCGGCTGGAACTGGGCGGGTTGCTGGGCCTGAGCCTGATAGGGCGACCGCTGGGCCTGCTGCTGGTACCGGGGGTGTTGCTGGTATTGTGCCTGTTGCGCCTGCTGCTGCTGCTGTTGCTGCTGCTGCTGCTGCTGATAAGTTTGCTGCACGTGCTGTTGGTAGGGCGAGGCCTGGGCGGCCGCCTGGGCCGCCTGGGCCTGATAGGGAGAGGCCTGAGCCTGGGATTGGTAAGGGGAGGCCTGGGCGGCCGGGTGGGGTTGATACGCCTGTTGAGCCGCGTAGGACTGCGGCTGGGTGGAGGCGAAGTGGGCCTGCTGATGCTGGGGTTGAGTGGTGGTGAGCATGGGCGAGGCGGCGGCCGGAGAGGTCCCAGCAGGATGGGCGGCCTGGCGATGCTGCAGATGCGAATGTTGCTGTTGCTGCTGCTGCTGCTGCTGTTGTTGTTGCTGTTGCTGCTGCTGTAGACGCTCGAGCGACTGCTGCGGGGACCCCAATGTCATGGCGTGGGCGTGGGGGGACAGGGTCGTGGCCTGTGGGTTCATGGCGTTGGGGTGGGCGCGAAAGTTGGCCATGGGGTTCATATTGCGCTGCAGATTCTGCAAGGACAGGTAGGGATCCTTGAGCTGACCGACGGAGTCAGGATTGCGCGACAGAAGATCGGAGGAGCCCTGCGGGGGGAAGTGGTTGGGAAAGGTGCCGAAATTGCCGCCCGTGGGGAGACCGACCAGCGGCGCCGACGAGGCGGGGGTCATCTTGCGGAGATCGGGGGAGTGAGCGGCGGCGACGTCGGCGGCGGAGGGACCACGCAGAAGACTACCGGCGCTAATATTGGAGCCCTGATGGGCATGTCCCGCGGAACTCATGGACGGGGACTGCAGGGAGTGTTGCTGGTGTTGTTGTTGATGTTGTTGTTGCTGTTGCGGGTGCTGCTGGGCGGTCTGCGGGGGGCGAGGGTGGAAGGAATGACCACCGTAGCCCATCATGATGGGCAAAGGGCGCCGTCAGAATCCGGGCGCGAGGGAGGATATAGGATTTAAACAATGGGAGGATGGAGAGGAGTGGAATTGGATGATGAGATAAGGGTGGTGATGCGTGGTCGCGCAGGATCGGCGTCAGACGAACATGTGACGCGTGGTGGATGGCTCAATGGATGGGAGGGGAAGAGAGAGCAGGAAGATACAACTGTCGAGAAAATAGGACAGTAAGAAACCGGGGAGAGAGAGAGAGAGAGAGAAAGTGAATCGGAGAGTGAATAAGAAGGAAGTGAGATGAGGTCAAAGACCGAGAGAGGAAGTTGAAGTCGAGATGAATTTGCGGTGTTTGTCCGATGCGCGGCCTGAGGCGCGATGCGGTCGGGCGGCGGACAGAGACCAGAGGCGCAGTTCCCTTTTTTTCAGGCAGCAAATTAATGATTTAAAAAAAGACCAGAAAAATAAATAATAAAGAAAAATCAGGAGAGAAAAAAGGGAGACGAGCGAGGCCAGACCCCTTGAACCCCGGAGGTCGATGGGGCACGATCACTCTGGACAAGATTCTGGATTCTGTCCAGTTCACCGGATCTCAATACCCAAGAAGAGAGATGACCCCGATGATGATGGAGACGATGGAGATGGGCGATGGAGATGAGGTTGATGGTGGTGGTTAATTATTTTTCAGAAAATGATTTTTTTCCCGGCGGGTTTGGGGGGGGTTTTTTGGGTCGCGGGCGGTCACGTGGGATTCCCGTATCAGAATACCGTCTCATACCGGGTATTGTTGAGATTCCCTCCTGTTGTCGAGACGGAAACACACCCATACATAGATTACATACCTCCCCCTCAATAATCCAAAATCAAAATCAAAATCAAAAATCAAAATCAAAAATCAAAATAGAAAAGAAAAGAATAATAATAAAGAATCATCAAAATATGTCGATCCATGATGCAATTAATCAATTAAATCATTATTAAAATAGACATTTAAATAATAAATACACCATATCAATTTGATAATAAAGTCAAAGTATACAACCAGACGATGAGATCCCACCACCTGTCATTCCTTAGGTTTGAACACTCAACAGTAGCCTCATCCTATATTGTGGAATAACGGATACCTCCACCAAAATAATCTCTATCTATCATCTTTCTATCATATGATACGAACAACCAGTCCATCGGGAAAGCGATGGTCGATAATGATGATAATGATCCTACAGCGACGGCTGCCATTATCTGTCTGAAAACTCTGCATCAGCTGACTGGCTTCCACGTAGATCTGTAACACCACCATAAATACATCTCTATCCAATATAACCATCGCATCGTCACTACGCTGGAGGTAGTATAGTACTTTTTGGTGTTTGGACTTGAGTCCGTCAACAGCCGGCTATTCATTCTTTTGTACCGAGAGAAACAGTATAATATATTAATATTCCACCGCATCAAGACTATTCAATGGCCTATACTGAATATACCCCATACAACCTGTAGAATATTCATGAATATAAATATACTATTCAATGGTCTAAGAATATTAGAGATACAGGGACTACTACAAGTAGTCTACTAATGACCAAGGCGTGGAGGACTTGGGGATTTAGTCGAGCGCTATCCACCACATTTGTACTTGTTTTTCTAAGAGCATCCATGGCCTACTCTCTCCATTTTTGTGCTCACCCTTCGCTGCTTTCTGCTTACTGAGTAAATCTGAGCACGCCCTGGGGAGCCTGAGATAATCACCAAGTATGAGATAATTAAGTGATCAAGTACCCTGAGCAAGTAATTAAAAGAATGAGAGGGTCAGGAGCTTATAAATATATAGTTTATAATACTTGTAATAACTTAGTACTGATAGGTCTTAGTAAACTAGCCATCTAAGATTATTATCTCAGATTATCTTTTTTTTTTTATAATTCTAGCTCTCAAAGTCCTGTATAAGTACTTTTCACCCTGAAGACAGATCAGGGCAGATCCTTTTCAGGTCTAATGGCTAGGTTATTATATAAAGAACTTGCTGGTGCTTAAAGTCCTCCTAAAAGATTATATAGAACCAGGTCATCTGTAAGTATTTAGATAACAGGGTATGTAAACAGCTAGATATATATATACTGGCCGGGCTGGATATAGTAGTAACAGGGAATAGTAATCTCTAAGTATAACAAGCTATAATATAAGAAGACCTGGAGCTATGGCCAGGGATAGTCACAGCCTTTCTTAACTAGAATAACATAGAGCATCACCACTATGCTAAGCATACCCTATAAAAGAAATCGAACAGCGGCATTTTTTTGAAATATATATCAAGAAGCCATCCTTCTAGACAAGTGAGGCTCTGATGAATCGTAGAACAAACTCTGCTCATTTAATCAGATGAGACCATTGAAATCAGGATTACCAGGGGTTTGAAAACAGAGAAGTGTCAAGAACGTCTCTAAGGGGAAAAGAGAGCATATAGCTATCTATCATCTATTCGAACACTGGTAATATGGATTCTGTCAGTAATCATGAAGATATCTTTTGCTCTAATCAAACCCCCTCCCTCATCCTTGTATCTCTTTGCAGCCACACTTGTGATTTGCATAAATTTCCTCCATCTAAATCATTGATTTGACTCTGGTTTGCAACTCAACTATTTCGTCTGGATGTCTTGACCAATGAGCTTCTATGGCTTAGTTGGTAAGCGCATCACTAGCAATGATGGAAACATTCTTTGGCCTCTGTTTTTTTTTCTTTTCCGATAGTTAAACCTGATGCAGTATCTTAATCACCTCAGCCCATAGTATGTACGAATCGATGAAGTCTTCGTGGACAGGTTGGTCCCAGAGCATGGGGTTCCAGCCGGGGTAGTGGACGGCAGTTGAGGTTGGAAGTGAGAGATCTCGGGTCAACGATTGGAGAAAGAGGATCTGGATGCTTGTCTTGCTAGTAGACAAATCTCCCCTGATCAGAATGGATCTGGGGGGTAAAGATGGAGTTTTGTTTGGTTGGGTACATACCACCAGTTTGGGGTTTCCTGACTCCAAACATGGGCTGGCACCTTTTTCGCGCTAGTCATCAAGTGATTATATCAGTTCCATCTTGTCAGAAGCTTCAACTGCTGCTCATGGGTGAGACATTCAACAAGTTCACAAGTGTCCTAGAAGGGCCCGGCGATGGTTCATTTCCCCCCCGTCTAATTGTTGCTCACCGTTATTCCGAAACTGTGACCTCCGAGATTATTGCTTTAGGCAACAAGACAGGTAATCTCCTATGAAGAGTTTGAACCGGTATCGATCACCATATCCGGTGTAGGTACATCCCTACATAGGTAGATATAAGGCAACAGCGGCCCTGGATATGCACAAAGCAGGCAGCAACTCTTTAAAGACGGACTGACCGAGTTCCCTTGCATTGGCATCACTCTATATAGACCGCGAATAGCACCCCACGACAACACTATACTCATCATACTCTCATTCGAAAGCAGACCAAATATCGGAATATTCTTACCGGACAATTTCCACTCAATTTCCAACGCCCAACAGAATCATGTCCATCGCGAATCTGCCAGGGCTCGGCGTCGTTGATGCAGGACTGTCCAGTCTGCTGATGTTGGAAGACATCACCATACAGAGAAATCACAAAGACAAAGACGGCCGCATCGCTCTGACAGTAGCCGCTCAAAGAGGCGACAAGGAACTCGTGCAGCACATTCTCGAAACCAAAGCGAAGTTGATGGTCGAGGACGCCGGCCACATAGGCCAAATCATGGCGGAAAAGGTGTATCTCGGACTCTATAATCGCGTAGTGCCTGCGAAGGAGCCGGCTCGGTCTGCCGTCTTGGACTCGGTGGTTGGGGAGACGCCGCTGTCGTGCGCTCTTCGGCTTCGTCATGTTGAGGTGGCTCGGCTGCTGGTGGAGGGCCCCGAAGGTGTGAATCGGGCCCTGGCGAAGCGTATCAGACTGGAGCAGCTCCATTGGGCTGTGTATTATGGACAGCTGCCGATCATTGATCATCTGCTGCTAGAGGAAACTGATATCGAAGGCGTTAATGCAGATGGCATAACTCCGCTGGGTACAGCTGTCAGCAGGTGTCAAGCTGCCGTTGTGGATGTTTTACTGCGGAAATACAAAGCAAACGTCAATGCCAAGGAAGAGGACGGCACGACGCTTTTACATTATTTGTTTCTTCAGATGGAGCCCGAGACGAAGCAAAGCGGTGCGTGGAAAGGTGTCATGAAGCGGTTGATTGACGAAGGAGCTGACCTTGACGCTCGCACCGAACCTAATGGAGGCACAATATTGCATCACATCTCCTGGATCGATCGCATCGAAGAGGTACAGCTGTTGCTGGAGTACGGGGCGGACGTTAACGCCAGTGACAAAATGGGCCTGACGGCGCTGCATGTGGCTGCGAGCATGGGTCATGTGAAGATCGTGGAACTGCTTCTTCAACACGGTGCCAAATGCGAGGCTTCTGGCCCCTCGGATTACACGCCGTTGGATCTCTTATTAAAGCCTGACCCCATCCCTAGGTCGAAGAAGACCCCGATCTCCAATAGGGTGCGTGTCGTGAGACTGCTGCTGAACAGCAACCCCGGCCTACTCATGAAGAAAGATAAGTTTGGATTTACCAGTGTGGGAACGGCTATCCATCGGTCCGAGCTGGAATTATTGGAGGTGCTACTCGATTATTCAGGCAGTGATCCCGGGCAATCATCAGTCAATTTGTCTACCATGTGCTTTGCTGCGTTGCTTGGTACGGTAGATGTGATCGAGTTCTTAATAAAGAAGGGTGTATCTCTCCAAGGAGTGGATGAGCGCTACGGGCGTAATGCACTCTGTTGGGCTGTCAGCCGGGGCCGGAAGGCTCAATTCATGTCGCTCCTGCGGAGCCCTAGAATGGGATGGGATGACGTGGACAAGTTAGGGAGGAATGCGCTTTTCCTTGCTGCCGCCAACGGCGAGCACGACATGTTCGTGCAGCTCGCAGACCGTGACAGCGACGTTCACCGCCGGGATCGATTCGGCCTCACGCCCTTATTTGTCGCCGTTCAGCACGGCCATCTGAGTATTGTCCGGCAGATTGTGGAATCTCGTCCGCTGCTGTTGGAGCCTAAGGATTCCTTTGGTCGGAGTCTGTCGTGGTGGATGCGCGCAACTGGTAATACTTCCATGCAGAGTATTCTGACGGGAACCGGGATGCAGCTGCAGGATGATGAACAGACGGGCGACATCCTATCCTTTCTGGAAAAGACCTCTTCAATAGAATGCGACGTGTGCACTCTTTGCTTGTATCAGAAGGATCGAGGCGTCCAATGTGGTTCCGGAATCCGGAAGTATAGAATCTGCCACGTCTGCTGCGACTTCGGAGCCAGCGCTGCGGACTTTGCGGACCTTCTTGAGGGATAGTCCCTTTTCCTTTCTATTTTCCTTCTTCTTTTTTCGTTCTCTTTTTTCTTCGTCCTCTTATTTTGTCCCTGACACCCTGCATCTGAATGTTCTATGGATGGGGAGGAGAAAAGTGAAGCTTATCTACGCGGTCAATTTGACAATGACATCTGAAAGACATTCTTGGAGTTTTCGCTACCGGAAGGTTGACGTAGCCTTTCCACGAAATAGAACGAAAGTAAGAACCTACAGAATGGCCATTTTTCTTCTCGAATTTCAACCAGGACCGTCAATCTCAACTGTTAACGAGACAAGACCATCCTACTACTCAATCCCCCTACCTAGCACCACCTCAAACCCAAGAACTAGAAGAAAAACCAAATCGCATCCTCACATCCTAGCGAAAGAACTGCTGCAGCTTGTCCGTAATGCGATCCACACGCCCCTGGCGAGCCGCCTCTTGACGTCGTCGAGTCCGACTTTCAGGAGGCTCGCTGTTCAGCAGTGTCGCTGGCAAATTTGGTGGTCCGTCGGATCTGTGGCTGGGCTTTTCCCTCACGTCGGGGGTGTCTCCCCCCGCGGAGTCTCCGCCGTGGTCATTTGTGGAAGGGGCGATGCTTGTGCTGGGGTCTGGGGTCGACGCCATCGACATGAGCTGGGAGGGCGGTTAGGATGGGGTTCGGGGCAGATGGGGTAAGTAGCTTGCCATTGCAGCCATGGTAATTTGAGAGGTTTTTGAGATCCGTTCTTTTGGGAAAGACCGGTTCGTTGGGATGGACATGCACAAGGAGACACAAAGTATTCCCTTTTACAGATCAGGCGATATATGATGCTGAAATGTGTCTGCCTCGGAGAGGTCACAGGGCGAGGCGCAGCCAGTGCCCGTCCGACACGGGGTATATCGCACTTGCGTGTCTATAGCTGTCACCCCGGCAGTAAACAACGTTCTATCATCTGGGTTGGTCGGGTCACAGTGCCCCACTAGGGTTGGTTTCGCCTTCCACGAAGTCATGTCATGCAATGTATCCAACTGCAGGTGTTGGATGATTTGTACGTTACTTACAGAGGATGGCTCATAGTGGCACGTCTGCTACGTAAACACCCCAAGCAAGAACGTAATGAAAGCAAAACCATGGCGAACATTTTATATCCCTCTCCTACCTACCATATATATATCAAGAGAGACAACATGTCAACCTCCCATGATATCCTGACTCTTCTCACATCTTGCAACTATTCATTACCCTTTCTATATCTCAAAGAATCATCGGATTTATCAGGATTTGACCGTCTTATCAGGTGTTTCCCAAGATAGATGAGTGTCACTATCCTACACACCCCACTGATTCAAATGACACAGATCCCATCCCTTCCCCTTCGATGAGAAGGTCCAATATCACGATCGTCATGGTGGTCATCATCTATCTATCAGCTTTATAGTCTCATCGTGAACCTAGAGCAATTCGATACTCTCTCCGTACTCCACCGTCGCCTCACCAGCTGTAATGACGCCGTCTCCTTATCTAATGCCCTCTCCTCTCCCCCCCTCCACCTCGAGATTCATCTCCCTAGATACATCCCACCGCATGTCGCTCCAACAACCCCATCACCGGCCCAACCACCCACGCGGACGGTCAGCTGCGCTTGTGGCGTACGAGGTTGACAGCCGCCATGACGTCGTTCTCCTGGTGGCTTACACAATGACGGGGGGAAGTGTGCAGGTTGTCGAGCGGTGAAGATGTCGCCGCGGGTGGATTTGTAGGAGTTCTGTAGGGATGGATGAGATACGTTTACACGTGCAAAGAGTATGGAGCAATGGTTGACTGTATTAAGTGATGGAGAGTGGAGAATCTGGAGTGGAGATACCCCGCAGGATCTTGTTTTGATCTTATGGTTCATCCACCTTGTCTCAATGATCACTGCATGTCTATAACAGACAGCATCATGACAAAAGATGAATCAGCTGAATCATTTCTCTTGTTGAATCCTTACTCCACTCAATATCAATCTTTATATCGGTCTGTCTATACCATCCTCGGAGATGTTTATGACCTTCCTAAATGAGACAGCTCCCCCGGCAACCGTCTGACCTCCTTACTTCATCTTTCTTCCCTTCCCTTCTTCCCGGTCATCCCATCCTCTCTTCGACTTCATCTTTCTGCACCTTCCTTGGACTGACCCCCACATCACCAATCAGGTCTGCCCACCATGCGGGGTTTCCGCCAATGGTCTCATTCTCTTCCCGAATGGCGTTATCCTGCAGCCTCCGGTCATGATCTCGACGACCTCGAGCGGCGCCCGCTCGCCTCTCCCATCGCCCGTTCACCCTTTCTCACTGCCGACGGTATGATCTCGTCGATGCAAATAAAATCCCACTGACCCTCAAAGACGCGATGGACGCCCCTCAGAGCCCCAAGTCCGACCCGGAAGGGGCATCCGGGGGTATGACCCCCCCGGACGATGCCCCCGCGCAGTCTCCGTACGAGGCCCGTGCCGCGGTCCTCAACCGCGCCATCCAAGCCATCGGCATGGGTCGCTACCAGTGGCAGCTGTTCGCCGTCATCGGATTCGGCTGGGCCAGCGACAACCTCTGGCCTATCGTTACCTCCCTGATCCTCGTCCCCGTGTCCTACGAGTTTCCCGGCCCGGAGCCTGAGCTACTGACATTAGCCCAGAACATCGGACTGCTGATCGGAGCCCTGTTCTGGGGTTTCGGATGCGACATCTTCGGTCGCCGCTGGGCCTTCAACCTGACCATCGGCATCACGGGCCTGTTCGGCCTGATCGCCGCAGGGTCGCCGTCCTTCCGCGCCATCGCCACCTTCGCCGCCCTCTGGTCCGTCGGCGTCGGCGGGAACCTCCCCGTCGACTCGGCCATCTTTCTCGAATTTCTGCCTGGCTCACACCAATACCTTCTGACCGTGCTGTCCATCCACTGGGCCCTCGCCCAACTACTCGCCACCCTCGTCGCCTGGCCGCTCATCGGACGACGCACGTGCGCCTCCGTCGAGACGTGCACCCGCGCCGACAACATGGGCTGGCGGTACTTCCTGATCGCCATGGGCGGGCTAGCCGTCGTCATGTTCATCGCCCGCTTCCTCTTCTTCACCCTCTTCGAATCCCCCAAGTACCTCATGGGTCGCGGGCGCCACGCCCAAGCCGTCGCCGTCGTCCACGAAGTCGCCCGCCGCAACGGCCAGCCCTGCCATCTTACCCCCGACGCGCTTGACGTGCTCGCCGACGACCACCCAGACCGCCCAGCGCCGTGGTCGCAGCGACTAGGCCGACATCTCGAGCCGCTGGCGCTGCCGCATGTACGGGCGCTATTCCACGGTCGGCGACGAGCCCTCGCTACCACCCTCCTCATCGCCATCTGGGGCCTCATCGGGCTAGGCTACCCGCTGTACAACGCCTTCCTGCCCTTCCTGCAGCAAACGCGCGGCGTGCAGTTCGGCGACGGCTCCATCGACCAGACCTACCGCAACTCCCTGATAATCGCGGCGGTCGGCGTGCCAGGCAGTCTGCTGGGCGGGTACCTAGTGGAACAGCCACGGATGGGCCGACGGGGATCCCTAACAGCCGCAGTGCTAGCGACAGGGACGTTCCTACTCGCATCAACGACAGCGCGCACATCAGCCGCCCTACTGGGCTGGAACTGCGCGTTCAGCTTCGCGAGCAGTCTGATGTACGCCGTGCTGTACGCGTACACACCGGAGATCTTCGACACGCAGCACCGCGGGACGGGCAATGCACTGGTCAGCGCGGCGAATCGCGTTGGGGGGATCCTTGCGCCGATTATTGCGCTGGTGTCGGATATGCGGACCAGTGTGCCGGTGTGGGTGAGTGGGGGGTTGTTTTTGGCTGCTGGGGGGATGGTGATGTTGATTCCCTATGAGACGCGGGGGAAGATGGCTAATTAGTTTTTTGTGGCGGTATTACCGTTTTGTTCCTTTCCTTACTTTTGTCCTTGACGACATGGTTATTTTATTGTTATCAACTTTGTATTGTCTGGTCACCTTGCGGGAGTAGACACTGTAAATGACAGTTTGGAGTACCTTGCATGAATATGCTTGGACAGTGTCCTACAAGGATAACATATTAGACAGACTCATCCAATCATCAATCAACGCTGTTCTCATCCGTAGGGCTCTACTCTATAACCAGACTGATCCATCCCTGTAGGGTTTATATCATCCATTACACTATTACCGGATTGACCCTCCGACCCCTTACATACGTCCAGTAATGTCTAAGACATGCGTGAGTTGCTATGGTGTTGATATCGTATGTCGTATGTTTGACATTAACATGAGGCAGAGGTGTTGTAGGTAGGAGGTAGGAGGTAGGTGGTTGTAATTATGATCTAATATGGGGTTAATATGACTATCTACTATGGAGAGGTATAAATATTCTTCTTATCCCCCCCTTCTAACTCTTCTTTTCATCATCTTGCTAAGTACGTGGGATATATCTAAGGTAAAGAATTCATCTATAACACGGATCCATCTAAAGACAAGGAAGAAGAAAGAGACAAACAACAAAATGCATCTCTCAACTCTCACCATCGCTACTGCTCTCCTCTCCCTCGCCAGCGCCTTCAACAGCACTCATTCTCTGGATGCTCGCTCCAACTCTACCCAGCTTGATCACCGTCATGTTGCACGGGGGAATACTACTACTGCCAACATCAACACCCGCAGTATGAGAGCCCGCCGGAATGATTCTGTTCCTGTTGATGCTGTATGTCTATCTTTTCTATATATTTAGGTATACGTGTATAACTAACAGCAACCTAGGTAACGGTTTACATCCACACTCCGGACCATCCCACCCCTCAGCAACTATTCGTCCCGCCGACCATATGCGTGCAGCCTGCGCCTATGTATCCCTTCCCTTCCCCCCCTCTCCCCCTTGTAACTATGATCAAAACTAATGATAATGATGATAGGAAAATTCACGGCTTTGACCTCTCTCATGGATCGTGCTATCTATACTCGTACGTCCCCCTTTTTTACTCTATCAAGCTATGTCTTGTGGATACTGACGTAACTAAAGGCACCCACTGTGTTATGGACCGTCCGTGTTGGTCTCACCCGATGTGAAGCCCGTGTTGGATGGGGTGGAGGTGTTGGGGGTGAAATGTGCTTATTGATTCATCTTCCACCTTTCTCTCCATTGATTGGTTTTATTGTTCATTGTTTTATGATGAGGTAGATTGATCAATTTGATTCTGATTTGGATACAGATAAGGATGTTATCGATAAGTGATAAGGTTGATTAGATAGTGGATGACGTCATGACGTCACGGCATCATCGTGATGTCGTTTATACAACCTCAACTTATGTCTATATCATCTCTTTATTTCTCTTCTATTTCCCATCTTATTTCTACTTCTTACACTCATTCTATTCAATTAATTGTATATTTTATATCCTACCTGTTTCATACTCAACATGCCTGCCCATCACTCCCACGCCCCTCGTCTGCATCAGTATGTCTATATCATCCCAATATCATTCCACCCCCCAATCACCCACATATCTAACTGATGATCTAGTATCGGCCGGTGGATGCCCTCCACCAACGCCGCCCACCACGAATGGCTCGGCGGCGTCATCGACCACGTCGACAAGCGCAAAGCCCAACCCCTCCACCCCGCCCTCGAAGACTTCAAGAAGCTCATCGAATCCAACACCCGCGTCTTCCTCCTCATCTCCTCCATGTTCGAGGAACTCCCCCGCAACCGCACCTACTCCACCGATCCCACCGGCACCCCCCAGATCAGAGACTACCACCACCTCCTCCACGTCCTCAACTACCTCATCACCACCGCCCCCACCTGGTCCGACATGTCCCACCGCGTCGGACTCGTCGGCCTCCCCATCAACGCCGTCCTCGACTGGTCCATGGGCACCCCCTCCGGCTACGCCGCCTACCTCGACCCGGACATCAACGCCGCCCTCAAGAAGATCCTCGACGCATGGGGTGCCTTCCTTTCCTCCCCGGCCTCCGCAGAATGCATCAACCCCGGCGCCCACGGCTGGCTCGGCCCCACCGCCAAACCCGACCTCTGCGCCGTCGCCAACGAGCCCACCGCCTCCTCCCTCTCCTTCGAAGACCTCTACGTCTGCGACCCCTCCGCCCCGCACCACGGCTTCACCTCCTGGGACGACTTCTTCACCCGCCTCTACCGCCCCGGCGTCCGCCCCGTCGCCGACCCCCACAACGAAGCCGTCATCGCCAACGCCTGCGAATCCACCCCCTACAAGATCGCCCATCGTGTCAAGCCCCGCGACCGCTTCTGGATCAAATCCCAACCCTACTCGCTCCAGGACATGCTCGCCCACGACCCCCTAGCCCACACCCACTTCACCCACGCCACCGTCTACCAGGCCTTCCTCTCCGCCCTCAGCTACCACCGCTGGCACGCCCCCGTCTCCGGCACCATTCACAAGGCCTACACCGTCCCGGGAACATACTACGCGGAGCCTCTCTTCGAGGGCATCGCCGACCCGGAGTCGCAGGTCGCCCCCGCGGCGCACCGCATCGACCTCGCAGGCCAGGTCACCGCCCAAGAGTACAACAGCGCCACCGCCACCCGCGCCATCATCTTCATCGACTCGCATAACCCGGCCATCGGGATGGTGGGGTTCATCGCCGTCGGGATGTGCGAGGTCTCGACGTGTGATGTTACGGTGCGCGCGGGCCAGGAGGTGCGCAAGGGGGACGAGCTCGGCATGTTTCATTTTGGAGGTAGTACCCATTGCTTGGTGTTTCGGGAGGGCATCAAGCTTGAGGGGTTGCCTGTGCCGGGCGAGGTTACGCATAATGTGCCTGTTAAGAGTAAGTTGGGGACTGTTAATGGGTGATGTCTTTTGACTTTTTTGATCTGTGTGTTGTAATTGGTGGACTTGGTGTAGATTGTTTTAGGATTGATATTTGATTGTATGGTTGTCATTATTGATGTATAAGGGAAGTGTATCATATGATAGTACATATGGGTGTACATTTTATATTGCTCAATATTAATATGCCCAGGTTTCATACGGCAGATTTATAATGTAGACAGCATCATGAGCTGTGACGTCTATAGAGGATAAATAGAACAATGGATTGCTGGATATCAAACTCTACGACTCCCAATTAATGCTTTTGGTTGAGTGGTCGAGATAAGAAATGCTGACTGAATGAATATACTTCTACTGAGCTTGATTCAAACAACACCACCATAGATCCATCGAGTATACCAGTGCATTTATTTATCACTAACATTCCCAGACCACGCATTGATCGTTGTATAACTTATATCCCAAGAATATCCTATGTACAATCCATCTCATTCTCAGACGCAGATGCATCAGTGTATTCGGATTCACTCTTATACTCACCCAACTCAACCTCATCTGAATCAGAATTACCCGATTCAGATTTGTTGTCTGGATCAATTTCATCCATGCTGACTCGTTCAAAACGCAACCGTTGTATCGCATCACGCGGAACAGAGCCCGTCTCCTCCTCGTCCTCATCCCAATTCTCCTCCTTCGGCCGCTTCCACCCCCGCTCCCCTTCATCCTGCCGCACTGCCAGCCGCTTTGTCACCTCGTTCGCATCGTGCAGACTCACGAGCTTGCGCTTCCCCGGGTTCCGCGCTGCCCGCGCCTGACACATGTCGTACGTGATCTGTCGTTCGCTGCGGCGCTCGGGGTCGCTCTCGTCCAGGTGAGTGCTCGTTGTGCCGCGCTGCGAGAATTCCGTCCACGGCTCGTTCGCCGTCACTTCTCCTGTCCATCGCTGCTTGGCGACTTCCAGCGGCGTCATCCCGTTGGCGTCTTCGCGGTGGATCAGGTCTGGCCGGAAGTCGAGTATCAGCCCCAAGGTCTGGCGCAGTTGTAGCTTCGCCGCGTGGTGCACCGGCGTGTTGCCCGTGCCGTCCATGAGCTCGAGCTGCCTTTGTTGCCCCGTCGACTGCGACAGCTCCAGCATCTTCCGAAACACGGCCACCTTGCCTCTGGGTTCCCCGTAACTGTCGTCGCTGTACGGGTCCGACCAACGGGTAAACGAGTAAGATGTGTGCATCCACCGGGCGAGAGGCGTCAGGGAACCAGGCGCATCTTTCGATCTCTCTGTCAGCAAGGACGGAATCAGCCTGCGGTCCAGGAGTCCCAGCAGTTCGTCCATGTGCCGCGGCCCGTTGCGCTCTCGCCCGTCAAAGTCGCACAGAAGTAGGTGGAGTAGGTTGTTTCCGGTGGCGCCTCGCACCGTCTGGTCTGCTCCGGCCTGGACTAGCATCTCAGCCGCTTTTACCCGCGACAAGGCGAATGCTACGCTCAGCGGCGTGTAGCCCTGGCAGCATCTCGTCTCCAGACACCCTGGCATTTCTCTTAGTAGGTATTTGATCAGCTGCCGTGACTCCTCGGTCGGTTCGCTGCCAATCGCACAGTGTAGAACGAGATGTTCTGCCTTCGTTAGCTAACGTAAGAGGAACGGGATACCGAGAAACCTACTGCCCGCGTTCAGCCACCCCATCAGAGGACGCTCAATGCCTTTCTCCGACTGCGCCAACAAGCCAATCCGTTTGTCGTCCGTGTGTCTCTGCATGAAGTCAAGATAGTAACGGGCCGGCGCCGTGCCGAGGTACCACTCTGTGCTCTTCAGGTTCCCTTTCCACGCCGCGGTCAACAGCGGGGAGACCCCCATATCCGTGTTCTTCTCCTGGCCTTCGCGACCCGCCCAATCCGCTCGCTTCCTCCCGCGGACCGAGAGTCCTTCGTAATACTTGGACTTCTCTTTGATTCGGATCCCCGCTTGGTGGACCAAGGCGTCAATCGGAAGTTGCGCCCCCGTCCGCTTGATCAGCTCCTCAAGACATGCGAGTCGGCCTTTCTGGATCGCGAGGTCCACGAGTGATTCCGGTACGCTGAAGAAAGTGGCCTCGTTGTTTGGGCCACGGCGTTGAGCCTCTTCAGCCAGTTCCAGCAGGAAGACGAGCAGTTCCACATCGTCCTTCTCAACGGCATACTCAAATACATTCTCGTATCCGCGCCCGGTCGAGTATCTCAACTCGTCGACGGTTTGACCTCTCGCAGCGACATCCGAATGCTCCTCGGTAAACAGAAATCCATAGAATTGATGGTACATCATCGAGATAGCGGTCTTGTCGCACTCGATCTGTGTAACCGCCTCGCCGATCTCCTCGACGGTGAATTGGTCATCTACCACCTCACTGTATATCTCAAGGTCGTCGTTGATCCGGTATCGCACATTTGTCTCTTCTTCCTTTCGCGGGTTGTATTGGATCTGGCCGATTTCGAGCATGACCCGGGCTAGTGCGCGATGTCCTCGTACGATGGCAATGGTAAATGGCGTCATATCCATATAGTATTCGTCGCCTGAAATCAGAAGAGGGTCTTTCTTGCCACCTTCTCCCCATTTTGCCAGAGTAAGCTTTTTGACCGTATTCAGGTCACCCCGCCACGCCGCCTCGAATCTTTGACGGGTTAGTAGCCTGTCGTAAAAACGGTTGGAACACACATTGTGAACTTACAACTCGAAGTATCCGCGTACCTCCTCCTTATCCATGTTTGACCATCCGTACCTGGATTGGCTGTGTTTCCCCTCGAAGCGAAAGTTTGCCTGGAAGGGCTTTTGAGGGGATTTCTTTTTGGTCTTTTTCGAACGGCGCGTTTCGTAAACCGTTTTGGTATTAGGAAAGAGCTCAAGAAAGGTCTTGGCTCCTCTGTCCAGCAACGCGGTCTCGAGCTTTTCGTACAACTCGAGTTTCTTTTTGTAAATGGTACGTTGTCTCTCGGCGTTCTCCCCGTTAGCCGCTTGCACCGTCGCTTTACACTCTCGGAGCGCTTTATCGTATTTCAATCGCGCATCTTTAAGTTTGTGTGCTGCATGCCATCTCTTGTAGGAGCCCATTGGAAAGCCCTCTAAACAAACCTCGTCGGATGGCAGCGGACGAGGGAGTTTGCAGTTTACTTCCCTGGCTACACGGGAGCGGATCTCCTGGATCTGTTCTCGCACGGCTTCCAAAAGAGTCCGGGGTTTATGGAGATCATTCTCGTGGATGGTCTTCTTGGATTGATACCTGGTTTCATGGCCTTCTTTGGTCAGCGTATTCGGGTCGCAGCCTCTTGTCACCATCTCTAAGGCCAGC